CACGTAGAAGATTGTCCTCCCAAATAGGGTCCAGCCTATGGATGGAGCTTTGTTTGCTGATCACGCCCCTTTCAGCCAATCCTGCCATTTCCTCTTTGAACTGCTGTTGCTGACAATAGCGTACGATGTCAAACTCTGCCTGTGACAGATCCTCTAAATTCAGAGCAGATTTCTCATTCAGTTCATCTTGAGAAAATTTGTTGGTAGTTTTTCTCCTTCTACAACGCTTGAGTAGGATGGATTTTAGCTTGGTAAACCAAGCGACTGATTTTTTCAGCCTTTGCCAATCAGAAAAGTAACTGATGAGCCGATCAGTAGGATTTAATTCATTACAAGAAGACACATTCACAGCTGCACTTTTGTGGACCTCAGGATCATCAACTTCTATCACAGGATCAAAGGAAGCTTGTGGCCATTCCTGGTCAGATTTCCATAAAAAATTGGGCCCTTTAAGCCAGATTTGATGTTCAACAAAGTCTGATATTCTCATTCCTCTTGAGGCGGCATCTGCTGGATTGCCCTCTGAGCAGATGTGTCTCCATTGAGAAGGATGTGAAGCCTCTCTTATAGCAGAGACTCTATTTGCCACAAACACTTGAAATCGTGTGCCTTCATTGTAGATGTACTTCAATACTGACATACTGTCGGTCCAGAACACAGAATCATCAATCCATAGTGGCAGCTCCGCTTTCAACAGGGTATCCACCCGAGCAGCCAGGACAGCAGCTGTTAATTCCATTCGTGGGATTGTGATGGTCTTCAGTGGAGCAACTCGTGCCTTGCCTAATAGAAAAGCAACGTGGATGTCATTCTGGGAGTTCTTTTGCCGAATGTATGACACAGTGCCATAACCATCTTTGCTGGCATCAGCAAAATGATGCAATTCTGTACAAACAGACTCCCCAAAGTCTTTTGGTAGAATGCATCGTTTCATCTGAAATGATGTCAAGAGTGCAAGCTCTTGAGTCCATGAATTCCATTTTTTCAAAATATCTGGAGGTAAAGCCTCATCCCAACCACATTTTCTTTTGCAGAGTTCCTGTTGCAACATCTTGGCATAGAGAGTGACAGGTGCAAGAATTCCCAAAGGATCATACACAGAGCTGGTTACTGACAGCATACCACGTCTAGTGAGACATTGCTGTTTTACTTCAATCTTGAACTTGAAATCATCCGATTCCACACACCAGAGTAGCCCTAAAGCTCTCTCCATAGGAAGTTTGTCCCGATCTAGGTTGAGCTCTTTTAGATCCTTTGCCCACCGATCTTCTGGAATACTTTGCAAAACCTCTCGATTGTTACTGATCCACTTTTCCAGAGTAAAGCCTCCTTTCTCACAGAGAATGCTTAGATCTTTTATCACCTGTTTGGCTTTTTTCTCTGAACCAAAACTGATTAAGCAGTCATCCACATAGAAATTTTGTTTAACCGCTTTCACCACATCATGAGAGAAATCAGCCTTGTTGTCATCAGCCGTCTTTCTCAGTGCATAGCTGGCACAGCTAGGTGATGACACAGCACCAAATAAATGAACAGTCATCCTGAAGTTTTGAACTTCCTTCTTCAGATCTCCGTCTTCCCACCAGAGGAAACGAAGAAGATCTCTCTGGTGCTCTGCAACCTTTACTTGATGAAACATAGCATGTATATCGCCCATACATGCTATTGGCCTCTGTCTAAACCTGATGAGGACTCCAAGCAGAGAGCTGGTGAGATTGGGACCTTGTAGTAACTCCTTATTGAGGGATCTTCCTTTGAAAGTGGCTCCACAGTCAAAAACCACTCGTAGAGCTCCTTTTCTTGGATGGTATACACCATGATGTGGAATATACCATACTTTTCCTGATTTTCCTTCCAACTCTTGCTCTGGCACCTTTTCTGCATACCCTAGCTTTATTACATTTTGCATGTATGACACATACTCTTGACAAAACTGCGGGTTGCTCACTAGCCTTTTCTTTAAGCTAAGAATCCTCTGCTTTGCCATAGAAAAGTTATTGGGTAATGTCATAACTGGATTTCTTAGGGGTATGTTAAGAACATATCTGCCTTCCTTCAGATGTGCAGTAGAATCCATTATGTCCATAAATTTCAAATCCTCCCTTGACATCTCTTTACCTGCTGAGGGTTTTTCATTAAAGTCATGATTGTACTGGTTTTGTAGCATTAGCTCCAGATTTGTCACAGAAATTCTGTTCACAACTGCTGTTCTGCTCATTTCGTTTCCATGCGTCGGTCCATTGATGACCCATCCCAATACTGTCCTTATAGCGTAAGGGCCATCCGATCTGCTGTTGATTACTTCCCAGGGCTCCAATAGCTTGGGTGCGTTGGTTCCTATCAACAACTCAACAGTAGCATCTATGTTGGGAATAGAAATCTTTGACAAATATGGAAATCTTTTCAGATCTGCAGGTGTAGCAATATTTGACTTTAATACTGGCATTTCCTTTTGTGTTAAAACCTCTGGAAGCAGGTGGAAAGTGTTTGAATTTATCCCTGCAACTTCAATTCCAAACAACAGGTGTGCTGGAACCATCTTTTCCTGTCCCATTGTAGTCAACAAAAACTGAGTTTGTCTTCCTTTAATCTTTAATTTTTTCATAAGCTCTTCGGTGCAAAATGTAGCAGAATTACCAGGATCGAGAAATGCATAAGTCTGCACCTCTTCAGTTCCTGTAGTGGACTTGACACGAACTGGAACGATGGATAAAAGACAGTCTTTTCCGGCCCCTGTAAGACCACATGTTTGTGTAGGAGTAGAAACAAGATTAACAGGTGAATTTCGTTCCTTGATTGGACTAATATGAAGCACAGTTGGATGCTGCTGGCCACAGGTTTGACAGCTCAGACGATTAGTACAATTACGACTCATGTGCCCTATGCACAGGCAACCAAAGCAAACCCCTTTCTCTTTTAGAAAAGAGATTTTATCTCTGTTTTTTTTACTTTTGAACAGTTTACAGTTGTCTAGACGATGAGTGTGCGAACAGCAACAACACAGCTCCATTTGAGAACCATCCAACACACCTTTGTTGTCAGAGTTCACTGGTTTCACAGTAGTGGCGAAGCTTCCCTTTACTCCTCCAGAACGTTGTGCCCTTTGTATAGATACCCTTGAACTGTTTCGTTGTGCATGCTCGATGTCTCCATAAATGGGATTTAAAAGAATCCGTACTTGACGTTCTAAATATGTCACCAAGTCATGTAAGTGAGCTCTTCGGTTGTGTTGTTCCATGATGTCATGGGCCTTTGTCCTCCATCCTTCCCTTAACTTGTATGGTAATTTAGAGACCATGATTTTTATATTTGTTGGCATGTTCAATTCTTCCACATATTCAAGCTCCTGCATCACATTGCGACATCCACGCAAATATAAAGCATATGCTTGAAGTGATTTGCCATCCTCTGATTTTATTGTATGCCAGGCCAAAACTTTTTCAATATAAGCATTAGCAAGCTTATACTCATTTCCAAAGTGTTCTTTTAGAAGTTGCTTGGCCATACTGTATCCATTTTCAGGAGCCATATGCTGGCAACTACGGACCAATTCCCTTGGCTGTCCTCTGGTAAATTGCTCCATATAATAAATACAGTCTGCTTTGCTGGCCTTCTCTTCAACGCCTTGTTCAAATGCTTTTATAAAATGGTGATACTGCAATGGATCTCCATCAAAAATAGGAATGTCCCGTGGTTGAAGAGTCAAACAACGTTGCTGATGCACAACTGCTTCCATAATCCTATTCTGTTTCTCCATGATGGTGAACATGTTACTTGATAAAGCTTGATCATTTTTTTGATCTTGGGTTTCTGCAGTGTCTGTTGCCTTTCTTTGAGCTGTATTTAATGGTTCCACTGACAAACAATATGCTTCTTGGTCGTCTTGCCTGTATTGTAGTTTGTAGTCCTTTTCTTTAGGATTAAGTGAGAGAGATATTGACTTCCTTTCCCTTTCCAAATAAGAGTTCATGCCATTGGATTTTGCAGTTGAACGTTGATCCTCCATAGCCTAAAAAATGTCCAGTTTAGCTGTGGCTGCAGCAAGCTCAGTTTCCATTTGAAGTTGTTCTTTTTTCCTTTTTAACAACAGCTCTTGTTCCTCCAATGCATGACGCTCCTTCAAAGCTGCCATACGAGCTAAAAGAGCTGCCTTTTCTGCAGCAGCTTTTATTCTTGCAGAGGAAGTGCTTGTTCTTGAACTGCTCACACTGTTTGTACTTTTCCCCACATTGGAAATACTATCATTAGGATATATGTTATCATGACAATCTTTTGTTGCATCAACCCCTTCATTTTCAACATTATATGCTTGTTTTTGTATCACCCAAAGATTAGCATTTTTGACAACATCTGTATTAAACATCATTTTTGCTTTAAACCAGGTTTCATGTTTTTCCTTTTCCTCTGGTGGCAATAAACCCATGATAGAATTGTGAACACCATATATTTCATCACACAACTCAGACATAACATTCAAAGTATTTTTCACTTCACAAACATTTCCCATTTCCATTAGACCTTTAATAGTTTCTCTTAACTTACTAGCCTTATTCAGTTTGACTTTTCTAATATTCTGCAATTTCTCAATCTTCTCAGCCAAGGCCTTGGCAGTAAGTTTAACCACCCGTTTACCCAAATGAGTTTCAGTCACAAGGCTACCAGCCTCTTGTTCTTTAAGAACATCTTCTTTTACAGTTAAGTCAGTGTTTTTATTTGCATCAGAGTTTTCCATGGCTGAGCTGGATTTTTAATGTCAGCCAAAGAAATAAATAAATAAATAAATAAATAAATAAATAAACAAAAAATAAATAGTTTATTCCTGAAGTTACTTATCTCGGTTTTTTTTTTTTTTTTTTCAAATGGCAACCAGTGCACTGGAATTACGCATTGTTATTTTAGATAGCCATGGCCTGAATGTAGCGCTACACGTACCTATGTGTGGAAAATCCACGTTTGTGTCACACCTGCGCAACCAAGCCGCTGAAGCTCCTCAGGTTCCTTTACACGGTGATCCTCCTGCTCGCTCCTCCACTGATGGATGACAGACCCACGCTCGCTGATGGCATCTCTCCTATTGCCCACACAACCACTCCAATCAGTCGATCAGCATGCCGGTCATCCTCTGCGCGCTGCTGCCTCCGCTGCGCCGTCGCTCCTCTCTCTCCTCCCAAGCCGCCGCTCGCATTCTCCCCGCATCACAGGTGCCGACAGGTGACAGCCAGCCACACCAGCATAATTAGGAAGGAATCCTTTGATCCAATAATACGAGACACTTCTTCTATGTCTCGATGTCCTTTCCAAAGCTTGACTTGGGGCCACGGTTTGACTTTATTTGTAGGGGCTAAGCCACGCTTAAAGCCACTGGAATGTTTTTAAACCGGAATCTTATGGTTGACGCGCTTTGCCGGGGTTAGATGGTGTGAATAGGAAATGTCCAGACGCTGTTCTTGCTGTTTAAAAGGCTGATTTATTCCCACTCTTGCTGCTTACAAAACAAAAAAAAATTATACAACAGCCAGCTGTGAGTTGACAGCGTTTCCCCGCCATGCGGTCAAACCGATTTGCCCTTTCCGGTGAAACACACGCCCATACACACATCATTTCCCTCTTTTATAGAGCTTATACATAATGGCTTCTACACATATTATTGCACGTTGTTATATTATTATACAATTATAGATTATATTATTGTATATCATGACATATTGCATCGCAGCCTTTATTTATACAATTTAAGTAATGCATATTATTATAAGTAATGCATATTATTATAAATACTTATATAAGAATTTGCACTAACAGTGTTTAACTGTTAATGTTTACTATAACTACAATTTGTATAATAATAATTTGCAATACCTCCACTTTCCATTTCTTCATTGATGATTCATTAAGACCGACTTATTAATAGGATTGAACATTTTGTATAAATACATACTATGTTATTGTAAGTAATTGCACTGCATTTTCATTGCGTCCATTTTTTATTTGTAACCATTTACCTACAAGCATTCAAACTGCACTGCACTGTTCTGCGATACACTGTGTTCTCAAGTTTCACTACTTGCAAATAAACACTGAAAAGGATCTGATCGTTTGAGACCTCTTGCTTTTGGGTATGGATGCAAAACACACCTATGGCTAAAAAACAACCCACTTGTTAAATGTTTGCTTAGAGTGTATTGTTGATACAAAGAAGTTGTCAATTCCATATTGAGCATCAATCTTTTCTTTAATACAGTAATTCATAAACACCAGAATAAAGTGGTTGACTTTAAGGTGTGGAAGTCCAGTGTAGTATTTCACTTTGCCGGTGTCTTCCTTCAGGAAATCTTCATCCATTTTTCTCTGGCCAAGCTCACGTTTCAGGGTCCTGTTCTCCTCCAGCAGCCGGTTGATTTCAGCACGCCGGCGCTGACAGAAGTCACATTCTGTCAGCGGTGTCTGCTCAGCTCCATCCTCAGCTGGTGCTGGTGTCTCCACTATGGATAAAATAAGGACATCTTTTAGCTAAATGTGCATCATGCAGCTGAAAAAGCCACAAAAGCTACATACGGTGTTGAATCTGCTGGCTCTGTAAGGCTTACCGGGCGGAACAAGGTCATCAATAGCTGTCTCATCCATCGCAGGTGTACTGTCAGTCCTTTGCCGTTTTCTCTTTTCCTGTCTCTCATAGCGTGCAGTCTGTGTGGCCTTTATCTCAGTGTGGCCCAAGTGTAGTGATGGTGCCCAATCCGGATGTGAGGTGTACATTTCATTTGCTGGTTTTCCTGGTGACACAATTTAAAATTATTATCCACATCAGCAGTGTTGAACACATATAGAACCATAATGTTATCAATGATCCTCAATATACACATTATTATATTGTATTATATGATTACATTACATTACAAGACGGCTGGTAAGCGCTAGGATCAGCAAAATTTGTAAGTGGTGCTATGACAGCTGTCAACCTCAGGGTTTTTTTTGAAAATGGAGAGGGATGTCCCTTTCGTGGTAGGAACTGGCAGTGTGTTCTACCGAAGAGGATAAAATGCTATATCAAATGCTACATCAACCAACGAGGATGAAATGCTATATCAACCAACGAGGATGAAAATGCTATATCAACAGTCTCTGGGCGCGCGTTCATGCATGTATGTGGTGCCACGGATGAAGGAAGGAAATACTGTAGGCTATAAAATAAAACCGTGCATCTTTAACTTACCAGAATGAAAATGCAGGGAACACACTCGCATTGACATCGGGATACTGTGGAAAGTTATGTTCTGTCGTCTTACAGCCGCGATCCAAGCTAGCCGACAACTCTTTGTCATCTGTGAAACTTGGTCTCCGTGTTTGCGCCTCCAGGCAGGAAAGCGTGGAAAGTTATCCCATTTTGTAGGTTTTTCCCTCGGCGATCATGTGATGCGCTGTTACAGCCCACAATACTGCAACGGTTTACCATGGTTGAAATCAAGTTACAGTGAAATTAAACGACATAAAACACGGCTGAGAGGGAGAACAGTACGCGTTAGTCACAGGCAATAGTCTAAGGAAGCTGTAAAGTGCGCCGTCAACATGGCGACCACGCAAAGTGGTGACGTCACGACGACCAAGCCCTATTTTTGCGTTTTTTCTTGCTTTTATGCTGACTTATTTTTAACACACTTCTTTTTTGTTATACAATTTTATTGAAGTCTTTATTTTGTCTTTGTGTATTTATTGCAATTGGGGTTTTTTGTTCCGTATTTCCACTGCAACCTTTTTGATTTTTTCATATTTATTCACACCCAAATTTTTTTTTACGTTTTTTATTTATGTCTCATAAAGATTTACATTATAACATTTTTAAATCATGTTTTCACTTCACCACAAATATTATTTCTACTTTATTTTAACCTTCTATTTCTAAAACAGTTATTTATTTCTACCTCTTTTCTAACTTTTCTGTTTTTTTGTTTTTTTTTACTCGAAGGATTTACGCCTCTTACTGAGCAGGAGTCCGTGTGCTTGGATTTTGATATTGGACGATAAAGAACATAATCGTTGGAAAATGTGTTGTTTTCTGACAAATCAGGACCTTGTCTGAGCTCATTTGCTATGGCATTCCACAAGTTAGCCATCGTGACACCTCTGCCTGGAGGGAAAATCACACAGACATGTATACGGAAAAATCCAATCACGCGCACTCCTGGTCAGTAACCGCCTCCGGGGAGCCAGGCCTTGGCCAATAGTTGTGAAGCTTTGCCGGTGACGCGGCTCCCCTCCTCCTCCCTTCCCGGCATCGTTTAAACATTAAGGGCTGCAGACGACCAATTGGAAACAGAGCAAGTAAAAAAACACGAAGTAGAAATATACAAAGTGGAAAAAGAGAAGGAAATAAAAGGGCAGGTGGAAATCCTTTGGGTGAAAAACCCCCCAGAAAAGTTAGAGGTAGAAATAAAACATTGTTTCAGAAATAGAAGGTTAAAATAAAGTAGAAAGAAATATTTATGGTAAAGTAAAAACATGACTTAAAAATGTTGTGGTGTAAATCATTATGAGACAAAAATAAAAACATCTTTTAAATCAAAAAAGGTTGCAGTGAACAAAAAACCCCACTTGCAATAAATACACAAAGACAAAATAAAGACTTCAATAAAAATGTATAACAGAGAAAAAGTGGGTTAAAAATAAGTCAGCATAAAAGCAAGAAGTAAAAATAAAAAGTGTAAGTTAAAATATATATATTTGAATAAAAATTGATCAATTGTTGAAGAAATATGTTCTTTTTATTATTTTGTTCCATTTAATGGCACACACATTCATATTATTAGCTACTTTTTCAAGCAATTTTATATTATCAAGTCCTTCATTTATTTCTGTACATATTTTCAATTATGGCAGGATCGGTCCTCCATAGAACAGGGAGAGGACAGTGATTCTGACTGTTTTGTTTCCCCCCCGTCTGATTGGCTGAAACTATAAAGGGTCAGCCCTTTTCCCCTCGATGAATGTTCCTCTCAAACGTCATGTGACTTTAGGAATTCTTCTGTGGAAATAAGCCTCATGTCTGATGCAGAGATGGCGGCAGCGCAACCTCGGCACTCGGATCCCTTTAAGAAAACTTTACCGAGTGATATTTTAGGCTAATTGATTTACGGCGATAATCTGCATAAACTGGCATGTGAATGGTTGAGAATGGAAATACAGATAGAAAATTAGGAAGTTATGGATTTTAAGGAGAGAAACACAGCAGCACTCAGTTAATTTTAACCGGCAGCTACTTAGATATATGTTAAATTAATAAAAGTAAGGAGACGGGATGGTTAAAAATATTGAAATGCCACCGCAAAATCCGTTCGTTAGACACAAGAGGCTTTAAAAAATGGCAACGGAGTGAATGTTTAATAAGTTTGACCAAACAAAGGATTTTCTTCTTCTTTACTAGTCAAAAAGCTGGGCTTCTCAGAGGACCATGACTCCCAGTTACAGGTTAGAATTAACGCATATCTGCCAATCAGACTGCAGAGCTTCTACATGTCTGGAAAATAATTTCATTATTTTAGCAGACAGGTTTATAAATCTGTTTTTAAGCAGAGCAGAGACACAATTAGGGACAGTTGCTGATTTAAATGTGAAACTGATTTACTGGGATATGCAACATGCAATAAAAATACATCTCCTAGTTTATCAGAAAGTTTACAAGAAAAAATAAAGCTATGCTGTGATTACATTTTCAGCAGGACTCAGAAATAGCTGTGCCAGCCAGACTCACAGGAACCAGACTTAAAATTAGAATATAAGAAACCTACAAGAATTAAAGCACAAATAAAAGAGTAACAATCAATATATCAATGATTAATTAAATATAGCTTTCAATACATAGACTTCTCCTGTCAATATGTGACACATTTCTAAATTAGGTTTTGCTGTTTGTGAAAGAGGAAAATCACTGTTGCTGAAGGGAAACCATCCATCCATCCATCCACTATCTATCCATCCATCCATCCATCCATCCACTATCCATCCATCCACTATCCATCCATCCATCATATGAAGAGAATATTGCGGCTAAATAAAGGTTCTTTCCACTCGGGATGGAGCCTGGTCCAGATCAGGGAATTTGTTTTTTTTTTTTTTTAATCAATAAATGTATATATTAAACATGTTTTTTCCGGTAATGATTCTAATAAGGTAAAAAAAAAAAAAAAAAAAAAAACATATTTTCTGTGATTTACTTTGTGAAATAAAGTCTTTCCGGCTGCTTTTAGAGAATGATGGAGGTAAAACATTGTTCCTCATCAACAACCAACAAAGGAGGACGAATCTAGAATCTCCAGCCTCCTGAATGTTGTCAACTACTCTCAGTTTTACAAAAATAAAAAATCCCCTTAATTAATGAGGCCAGAAAAAGTAGATTTTAGAGCAACTTTTTCAGAAGATGATCAGTTGGTTTGGTTTGGCTCTCAGGCCAACAGAACCTGGAAGGACATGTGGGAGTAGAGCAGATGGTTAAGCTGACTTCATAGTAAAGAAAAGCTGCCATTTTTGCAAAAGGATGAACAATTTACAGCATCGTAGCAGTGTGTCACCTCAACCTCTGGGTAAAGTAACAGGATAACGTCTTAACATTTTTAACATAAAAAAACAGGCATCTGAGGAATTGACTTCCAATGTACTTTGTGTATACTGTTTTTGTAGCCCTTTGCTCCATGTTTCACTCATGAGCTCAAGCTGAACGGCGCCACACCGCTAATCCCCTGAAACACACCGATTTTTTATGTGTTCTTGTTCCTGACTTCTAAAAGTGACCTTATGACAGCCCGGCCTTCCTTTCACCCACTTCATCCCCATCTGCTTCATTTTTCCTGCTCCGTAAAAAAAATATAAGAACAATCATTTTGTACATCTTACAAGAAAGTATTCAGTGCTGTGTAGTACGACTGCTGTGTCCACCAGCTGTCCTGTGATGTCTTTATTTTGGACATTTTTCATGTGGGACGTGTCTGTTTGCATCCTGAATAAACTGGTCATGCTGGATGGAAGTCACTACAGAAAGCTGAACTGAAGGAATGGCACAAGAGGAACTGAAAAAGTTCAATTTCTATTTTTCTGAAGCGTCTCCCATCTAAACTTCAGAGTAAGAGCAGAATGTACCTGACAGCTCCACCAGAGGAATTTCTAAAACATATTCTAAAGTCTTTGTGGAAGCAGCAGCAAGGCCAGTGGATAAAGAGGATATTCCAGTGCAAAAATATCTTTATTACCAAAGTGAGGTTTTTCAAAGAACAAATGGGTTTCAGGACCGGAAGTATTTTCTAAATAATGTATAGTACTCTAAAACTGTGCATTGATTTACTGAGCTCCATGTTTTGGTCATGTTTCAGTCATATTCCTGTTCCAATAGGGTTGCTTGCTGCCATAAAAGTCACTTTCAAAGGACAATGACTTGATCCTAGAGATGGAGATTTAGATAACTTTTTGTTTGCATTCTGCATGTGAAATATCTTTAAAATAATGTTTGATATTTACAGTTGACTGTTAAGGTGCATTTTAGATGAACAGCGCCTCGCCTGGAATGTGGATGAATGTGTGCTTTGGCTCACCTGTCGACTTCATTAGAACAGACATTTAAAAAAGTCAACAATCCCTGTTCAGTTAGGGAGTCCTGACTGAAATCAGGCCGGCAACAGTCAGTCAGCCTGGTTTACTCAGCATTCCTGTCAACCTGCCAAAAGGTAGAGATTTAAATCTGTGCAAAATGACCATGTTATAACAAACAGTATTCCTCCCTAAAAGATTAGATCAAATAAAACTGGGTTGATCAATAAAGAGAGAAATAAAACTTTGTACATCATTTTTAAACAGAGAAATACATGAAAAAATCCCACCATAAAATTATAAACAGCATCTCTAATCACATTCTTCATCAAACTGTGTAAACCAGGATTATAAAAAGTAAAAAGAAATTCTTGAGATTTATATTTATCTTAATTCCAATATCAAAGACAGAAGTTTAATGCAGAAGAATTATAGAAAAACAGAAACTCATCAAAACCATCGAAACTGGTAAGGATTTTATAAAATGACTTTAATGAATGAGACATTTGGAAGCTCAAAGGTCAGAGTCACTCAGCAGACTTTGGTTAATGAGTTTAAAGCGCCACCGTGTGGTAAAACAGACTCACTGCAACTTTGCTTAAAACAGGTGAAGAAAATATAAACTCACGGTTTACATTAAAGTAATCTGACAAAACATATAAATTAATTTTACATCAACAGAAACATCTAATATTTATCATCTTAGGAGCTCTGACCTCAGTAACAATCAGATGTTTTAGCATTAAGACATAAGAAAAAATAAAGATCATTGTTTCTGGAAGAGAATAGAAATACTTAAAAAAATATTTTGAAACATTAACCTGGAATAAAACAAGGAACAGATCAACGTCCTTATGTTGGTCTTTATGTTAA